AAGGAGGCTGGACGGTGCGGTGATAGCAACAATGGAGGAAGAGGAGGAGGTCGTCAAGGACAGACCCCAGCACAGTAGACCTCAGGCCCAGCAGCCGAGCACAGGTCCTGCATCCCGAGCTGCTCGTGGCAGTAACACCTCAATTCCTTTCATTGACTGCAGTGATGTAGATAGCGAGTATGACCTCCTCAGAGAGCAAATATCCCGGTCACATTCCCAAACAAATGACAATTATGAGGGTGATTCGACCAGTGGTGCCTATGTTGACTGTAGAGATGAAAAACGTAACAGGTATAGGGATTCCTCGGCCACCTCTGTAAAGTCATCCCGCCAGACCACCCAAGACTGTACTGACAGCAGCTCTACAAGTATGTCCTTCTATGTTGGTGGGAGCCCCAGAATCCCACGGCACAGCACTCTGATTGATGAAATGTTCAGGGGTCCAGATATCCGTAGTCCATTGGCCACACCCTTGCCTTCCAGTAGCAAAGGATCCAGTCCTCACATGAGTTTCGGCAGAGCAGGTTCCCAGAGCTGTATCTCTGAAAATGGGCGCAACTGCAAGGCTAGGACTGACAGTGATGACATTTGTGCATATCCCTGCCGTGGTTATATGAAGTGTTCCCCAGTCTTGCAGAAGCCCCATATGCAAATGATTCAGAACGTATGTAACAGATCTGATACAGATCCATTTATCTTGAGCCAAATGACTTCAACTCCTGGTCAAGAAGGTAGGCCAGACAGATACTTCACGGGGGTCCCTTTAGAAGGCAAGAGTATGGCAAATGGTGTGCCGTCCATTGGACAATCAAAGCAAAGTCCAGTTATGCAAACGTTGTATGCCCGGGGCATGATGGACCATATGTCTACTGTCCAAATGATGGAAGGTTCTACGAGCAGTGGGACAGAGTCTAGTGATTCTGATTCAGAAATGGTTAATCCTTTCACTCACCCTCTTGTGTTTGGGAATCCCATAGTGCTGAATTCTTCTCCCCTGGCTAGGAACAAGTATTCCTTTGGCAGCCTCCAGCTAGACGAAGAGGTAGAGGATGTTTCTGTGGGCCTTGGTGATGAAGATGGTGTCCATGTCTTTGGTTGCTAAGGGACATGAGCAGCACTTTCAGGTTCTGATTAAGGACTTTTCCTGTGCTTTTGGTTGAGAGTTGTTCTCTGAGTGCAAACAAAGTGTGTTCAGTGCTCTTGGGCCCTACTGAAAACTAGAAGGAGCATTTACTAAATGTAGTGGTGGTGGTGATGGTAGTTTACAGTGACATCTAATAATGTTGTGTGTTTTTTGGTAAGGAGATTTTGGTCACCTTTTGGCTAGACTCTTCATGAAGAGGAAAATTGTATAGTCTTAATTGTGTATAATATTTAACGGGGTGAAGGCAGGGTAGGTAACATGAGAAGTTACATAGTTGTTTGGGGAAGCACCATGATTTGAAATAATGGTATATGCATATGTGCTTTTCTCTCCTTATGAAGGAGAGCATGTTATTCAGTGCCTCATAGGTTTACAGTTAAAATTTTTATGCTGCAGTCAAAATGCAAGAAACTTAATATTCAGCGTAAAATCTAAGTGAATTTTTTAAAAGAGCTTGGTGACATCTTTTTTTACAAGAACTACTTCTGTATTATGGTTGTCTTAATTTCATGTTTATTCATGTGCTGGAAATATCAAAAGCCTCTTCATTTTTATTCAGTTGGCTAAATAGTTGGTTTTTCCTGACTAAACACAGCGAAGAGGTAGAGAATATTAACTTTAAAAAAGATAGATGGAAGCAATTTGGATTTAAACACTCCTACGTGGAAGCTAGCTCATCTGAAATTTTCTTGCAACAGTTAAATGCCTCATTTAATTATCATTAATCATAGCTTACAGAAGTTGATTACAAGGTTACTTTCAGTGTAGTTGGTATATGTGTGATCTGACCAAATTGCATGCATACCTGATGGTAGGCTTCCTATACCCATTTCCAGCAGGACAATGAGTCGTGGGTGTAAATGGATTGTGAACACATAGTTCTATCAAGATCAGCCCTTTCAGAAAATCAGAATTAGAGGAGTTTATTCAGCCACTTCACTCAGCAACATTTTGAAGCCTTCCTTCAGTAGGATTGCCTGGTCCAACGAGCGTGTTGGCGGGGGAAAGAGAGGGACTTTCTAGGAGTAGGGGCGGAGCGCTGTGACATGGTGACATTACGCAGAAGTGACATCATCACATCGGTGACATCACACTGTGACTCTCTGCTTTTTTGGCAAAACTCTATGGTGAAATAGACCTCAAACCATAGAGTTTTGCCCCAAAATCAGAACGTCGCTGTGCAATGGCATAGACATGATGACGTCACTTCCTCATAACATCAGCATGTTGTGTTTGGGAGTGGGATTCCCTCCCCACTGGCCAGCTGCCCAGTGGTGGGCAGGAGTCTGAAAAACCAGGGGATACCCTGCCCCCAACTGGGGAATGGCATCCCTATCCTCCAGCCAAAAGAGGCTTTCTCAATCTTAAGAGGCTTTTCCTCCAACATAAGAGCCAGTTGAGTTGGAGGAAGGCTTCAGATTTGGCCGAATACACCCTAGTGTTACTAAGCGGGATGAGAGGGGAAGCAGGAGACTGAGTAACTCCATTCTGCCATTGCTTCCTCCCAAGCAGCAGGTCCTGAAAGGGCAATGTGCATATAGTCATTTGGGGAATTTGTGATTTGTTGCTCTGGTTACAGTTGGTTCCAGGCCAATTTGTCTCTGAATGTTGCATAGGTATATAATGTTCTGGTCATCATTTTCATATATTAGTCTGTTAGATGTCAGAATTTAGGAATCTAAACAAAAGAGAAAGAGGCTAGTGAGAATTTAACCCTGTATGTAGGAAGTGTTTCCCCAGGCAGCAAGATATATCCACAATCTGCCCAGTAGCCTTACTGCTCTTGTTAAATGCTGTTTTTTTATTGCGGCAGAGGTACATGCCGTCAGTTTAAGTATACTCAGAGGAGTTTATCAGAATTAAATACCGAGGGACAGGTTTTTGTTGAACATCGTTAGCTCTACATATTTGTTTGTCAATTTGAAATCAGATAAACCAGTTAACAATATACCTTAAAAAAAAAACTCAGCAGTTTTTCTAAATTGTTTCAGATTGTTAGATTTTATACAACAAAGTGTGTGTTTGTAATTTTTCCCAATGCCTTGAATTAAGATGTATTAAATGACTGAGCCGATTGTAAGGATATGTTAATAAGAGTTTCATCTTATAGTTGGTTAGGGCTTTTCAGTATTTCACTTACATTCAGAATGAGATGGCTAAAGGACGGGCAACTTCTTTGCCCTTAAATACTGCATCAAAAATATTTGGCATAGCATCCATTTGCAGTGAGGGGCTAGAAAGCTCCTTTTTCTTTTAATGGGGCTGGGATTTTCAGGATCCTAACAAAACCCAAATGAGTTCGTTTTGTAAAAAGGCCTTTGGCTGAATACTGCCCACTCTTTTGGGACGCAGACATGTTTTATGTTTTAACTGCCAGAATCAAGTCTCCTTTCTCCCCCTGCTCACACCTGTACTACTAACTCATACTTCCGTATATGCTTACAATCCAGATATTTAGACAGCAGACAAGATGCTGACTAATAAATCCGTGGCTCTGCACTTGGTCAACAGCAAGGGGCTCAGTTGGAGCAAAAGTTGGTATAATATAGTGCTCTGCGTTTTGGCTGTAGAACAAATAGCTGTTCAGCTCATGGTCTTTTTAATGCTGAATGTTTCAATCCAAAGCGTAGGTAAACAGAAGCCCATTTTTGGAAACGCACAGGGAGTGTGTTTGTCTTTTTCTCAAATACCTTTGCTGACCATTGGTGGTGACAGAGAAAGAAACAGTGGCTTGGATCCACAGTAGCATTTCCACAGATACCAGAAGGGGAACCAGGAAAGTCACATGATGTGGTTGGCTTGCAGAAGCACGAGCTTAAATCCAGTCCTATTCTTGTCGTGTAAAGCTTGTTAACCATGCAAACTCTAATTGTGTCAGTGCTTTTTCCAGTCTCTCCAGTATATTGTATAATAGGTCGATCCGTTTTTAGGGGAAAATAATCTAATTTGATTTCATGCTGATTTAGAAGTGGCCAGAGATCTGTAATATATATATGTTGTGGTTAATGTGAATTGATTGGAGAATATCTGTAAACATTACTCATGACTGGGCATTGTAGAGAATATGCCACAAATGAACATCACAACCTGAATTTTGTCCAGTAAATTTGCATAGTTTCCAAACAGTCAGTGTACACAGACAGGACCAAAATCATGTTGTGCAAGAGTAAAAGCCTGGCCACATTCCCCACTGGCAACCAAACACGCTGGATGTGCTCCCACCTATGTGTGTAGTCACAGTGCCTATGTAAAACTTGGGAATATGTTCCTGTATGTGCATTGGAGTCTGTGCATATATGGATTGCATGTGCTGTGCACATTTGTGGCAAATGTAGATAGACAGGGCATTTGGCCAATGTACTTCCTCCCATTTCCCCCCTCTATGCATGCTGGCCCTGTACACAGGTAGGCAGATTGTACAGGGCTATAATTTTAGGGAAATGTAAACAGCTTGACAGGATAATCAGGTAGTTTTTGTCACTGGAGAGTATCTGTACGTATTCTATATCTGGGCATTATGGTCCTGTGCTTAAGGTTTCCTTATGCTAAGTGTGCAGTCTGCTATGAAAGAAATACTCCTTCCGCAAGTCTTCAGTGAACAAGATAATCCTTTTTTTGCATTATTATTTCCAATTAATACCGCCTCCAGAGAGAGAGAGAGAGAGAGAGGAAGAGAGAGAGAGAGAGAGAGAGAGAGAGAGAGAGAGAGAGAGAGAGAGAGAAGAAAACTTCATGACTGATTCCATTGCATGTGCCCTGGTCCATGGCTGAAATACTTGCACACTATACTTGGAGTTCATGCGTATTGATCAAATGATGTGTACTCAGTTCCCTGGTCATGGTACTTATGGGGAGAAAGGCTCACATTGGCCAGAGTGTATACATATTCTCCATTCAACTCTCATCAGTTCCAACATATACAGCAGTCCCCCGTGGCCCCCCCCCAAATCTCATGCTTGT